ACGCACAAAATAAATATGCTTAAATTTTTTTATATTTTAGTATAAATTACTGTCGAAATTATAAAAAAGAAACTTTTTTAACTTCAGTAAGTAGATTTTACTCATTATAATTATGACAATCTATAAAAATAATTTATTGTAACAAAATACTTTTAATTATATCAATCCCGCTACATATGAATGACTGATTTATGATTATACAAGAATAATAATTACTATTATAATTTTTATATTTTCATTCAACTGTATTCTTGAGTAACGTTATTGCAAAGTAATTATGATTGCAAATCCGGTCAATTTGAACACTGTTGATTTGAATTAAGAAGCAAGTCGTGAACTATTATATTGCATGCATCTTAATTTTTTTTTTGGTCAGGACACTTAATAAAATGAAAGATATGTTTCAGCAGCCGTTTCTTATTATAGATTTATTTTAAAAGCTAATAATCTTAAATTTACAAAAATATAACTCGGAACCTTTTATTATTAATTTCTTTATTTAAGAAAAAAATTTAAAGATAACACAATCATAATATTAGATTTCATAAACCATGTTACATGAAATAAAATTAATAAATCGCTGTACTTATACAAAAATTAAAAGGATGAGATAATTTGAATATTCGGCACTTATCAAAAGAGTCTTCATCTTTTATTTAAAATTTCGAAAGAATAGAAAAAAAGGAAAGAAGAACGAAATAAATAAATGAAGTAAAAAAATTAAAGTATAATTTATTACTCCTCTACTTGAAAATCGCCAATAAAGTGCTAAACTTTTATTTTCGGAAAACTTATATTTCGTGTAAATGTTCTAATTTGTCAGCAATTCCCCTCCTTTGCCGCATGAGTGATTTTGAATACTCAACTGCGAGAAAACGATGACCCCTCCTCAACCCCTCACTGGAAGATAGCTTTGGACGAGTTCAATCATAGAAACTGCTTTCAGAAAACTCCCGTAATGAAGGAACACAAATTCTAGGACTCGATCGGAATCAGAGGGTTAAAATGTCAAAAAGAATATGAAAAAACATAATATAAAATTTAAAAAAAAAAAAGTCGACCCTTGAAGGGTTTCGAACCTAAGACCTCCGGGACTACATAACACCCTTGCCCACAGCACTACCAACTGCACCACGCTTCACATGCTAAACCCGGAAATATTTAGATTAAAAATACCTCCTCCCCAGTTAGTCAATAAAACTTATTTTGGCCCATTGTTGGTCCACTATTTGGTGTATAAAAAATTCCTTCGGTACAATTGTTCGATAACATAAGCTCTAATTTCAGGCCGAGTTTAAAATTTATAGGTTAATATTGTAGGGAAATACGGGGTGTGATGTGTGCGTGTCACCTGATACGACATTTGCACCTTTTTTCTGCCATTATTCGTTCTTTAACAATGAAAAATAATTCTTTTCATATCTAGAACACTTGATTCACTTAAAAATATTGAAAAAATAGTTAAAAAATAATATAAAATAAATAAATGAATAAATATTATCCAAAATTTATTCGTTTATTAGCTATTATTCGCTATTTCCCGAAGGAAAAATAATTATATCTATATACAGAACAATTGATTCACGTTAAAAAGTCGAAAAGAATATTAAAAAACATAAAATAAATTTTAAAAAAATAAAAGTCGACCCTTGAAGGGTTTCGAACCCAGGACATCCGGGACTACACAACACCCTTGCCCACAGCACTACCAACTGCGCCACGCTTCACAAGCTAGACCCGCAAATATTTTGATTAAAAAACACCTCCTCCCAGTTAGTCAACAAAATTTCTTTTGGCCCATTGTGGGCCCACTAACCAGTCTATAAAATATCCCTGTGCTACAATTGTTTGTTACATTAACCTCTAATTTCGTGATGAGTTTGAAATTTATAGGTTAATATTATAGGGAGTTACGGGGTGTGATGTGTGCTTGCCCCCTGATACAACTTTTGTCCCTTTTTTCTGCCATTATTCGCTATTTCCCAAAGGAAAAATAATTATTTATAGATACAGAACACGTAATTCGCGTTAAAATGTCGAAAAATACATTAAAAAAATTATATGAAATAATTTGAAAGGCGACCATCACAGGGTTTTGAACCCAGGACCTCCGGGACTACATAAGAACCTTGCTCACAGCACTACCAACTGCGCCACTCTTCACATGCGAGACCCATAAATATTTAGATTAAAAACACCACCTCCCGGTTAGTCAACAGAACTTATTTTTGCCCATTGTGGGTCCGCTATTTGGTCTATAAAAAATTCCTTTGGTACAATTGTTCGTTACCGTAACAATTACCCTGTGCTACAATTGTTTGTTGCATTAACCTCTAATTTCGTAATGAGTTTGGAATTTATAGGTTTATATTATAGGGAGTTACGGGGTGTGATGTGTGTGTGCCCCCTGATGCGACTTTTCTCCCTTTTTTCAGCCATTATTCGCTCTTTAACAAAGAAAAATAATTCTTCTCATATATATAACACTTTATTCACCTTAAAATATTGAAAAAGAAGTTAAAAATATAATATAAAATAAAATAAATAAGTAAAAATTATCCAATCCGTATATTTATCCGTTTATTAGCTATTATTCGCTATTTCCTAAAGAAAAAATAGTTATTTTTATAAGCAGAGCACTTTATTTACGTTAAAATATCGAAAAATACATTAAAAAAAATTATATAAAAAAATTTGAAAGTCGACCATCACAGGGTTTCGTACCCAGGAACTCCTAGACTTCGTATCTAACTTGCCAAAGCGCTACCTACTTCGCCACACTTCACATACCAGCACCGCGAGTATTTAGTTTAAACATTTGTCTTGCTACTTGTGACTGCAACATTCTCCAATCCTCCTCACGCTGTTGCTACTCAGTCTCGTCTCGATTAGACACAACAGCTGCCTGCATGCACTCGACTGTTAATGCTGTTCATGTTCGTGTAGCTCAACAATGATGTTTGATTCATTACTTAAACATAAACTTTAATACAAATAATTTCTAGATTAAAAATACATAAGAAGTTACACGCCGAACGCGGAGCCATGTTTAAGTTCTGCCGCAATGCCAACACAGGAGCAACTACAACTGTGAAATTAATCTACCTCTCACATTCAGCATTAAAAAACCCGGTGACCTTAATTGCAGATCTCCCGGTTTCTCACAAGTACAGCAGCTAGTGGTATCCGTCCATCGAATTCTATCCGTGACAAAATTCTGGTGGGGGAGTATTGAGGCGTAACTGACACTACGAAAATTATACATCAATTCACTGGTATATAAGACATGCTAGCTTGATTCAATCGCGAGGTACCTTTAGAAAGATAGATGAAGGTTGGCATTGTCGATAATCCGTCCCCACATTGGGGCAATAAAATGGGACACAGGTGGTGTAGAGCAGAAATCTTTACCTATGGTAACACTTTGCATGCTTCTACTATTAGCGTGTAGAGAGTTATGGAGAAGGAAGCACGTTAGCTTCTGTCTTGACTTTCAAAGAGAATAAAAACTTTTAAGGACACTGTATGGACCTGAAAACTAAGTCGAACATAGTTTTAAAATAAGGCGTCGAGAAAATTTTAAAAAATATTTTTGATAATTAATTTACGAAAAATATTTCCGATTGAAACGCTCGAATACGCCATGTGGAGAGAAGACCGATTCCTTTTTTGACCCTCCCCTTATGAAAAAATCGAGGTATAAATGAGGTATAAACGAGGTATATTTTAAAGGTATAAAGGAGGTTGTTGTTTAAATACGTCGTAAAGGTTGAAAAGGGAGCAAATGAATACCTCAAAATCAACCTCAAATATACCTTAAATATACCTNTGGCTACATTTGAATAAAATGTCGCCAAAAATATCTTTTTAAGTTAGCCTAATTAGAAAATATTCTAATGATTATAATATTAATATGATAATGCTGAAGTTTAAAGGCTGAAAGAAAGAACTCGGTACATGTGAAATACTGCAAAAGATATGATGCAATAATATGATGGCGCGTTTTTTCAATCTGCGGCGTAAAAATATATCGGAAGCAATAACCCGGAAGTCTTGAAAGAGCAATTTTACCACTAGCGCCACCACCCTTAGCTTTACACGATCACCCATCCATTAATTTACGAAAAATATATCCGATTGAAACGCTCGAATACGCCATGTGGAGAGAAGACCGATTCCTTTTTTGACCCTCCCCCCTTCTCTCTCCTCCTGTTCTCAGTTGTATAGGAATGTACTGCGATATTTTCCCCTTTTTAAATAATTTTCGTATTTAATTGTCAAAAACGTTTTTTAAAATCCCCACACCACTTTCTTTTAAAAGTAAGTTCAATGTAGTTTCCATTTCCGCGTAGTTTCCTAACTTAAAAGCTTTTAATCAGTTTGAAAATCAAGACAGGAACTAACATTTTTCTGTCATCTATGGCTCCGCTAATGATGAAAGCCTTAATGTTGCCATAGGTAAAGAGGTTTGCTGTGCGCCTTCTGCAATCCTTATCCATCGCCAATTAGAGGAAAGGAAACAGTTGCAGTTCATTTACATCGCACTAGAGCTGCACAATGGGCTATTGGCGGCGGTTTGGGAAACACCCCTAAAGATGATCCGAAGACATGCCATCACAATTTTGATCCTCTGCAGAGGGGATGACACCCCCGCTTCGGTAGCCCAACGACCTGCATGCGAAGCCGAGCACTTTACGGTAGCACAGTTCAACGAGGACCAATACCGCACACCCTCGGTCCCTGCGCAGACTGATCCAAGTGGTCACCCACTCTCACACTGACCGCAGCCAGTGATGCTTGACTTCAGTGATCTGCTGGGAGACGTCTCTTAGCGATCAGTCCACTGCGGGACTCTCACTGTGAGTGATTTTTCTGCATGTGGAAAAAATGTCCCAAATCTAAATCTGATTGGCTAAATTTTGTGCGCGTAAATACTTTTCACTAGACCTCTAACTTACACTTATGAGAAATTTAAGGCAGTGGGAATAGTCCTTAAGATATTTACGAACGTTTTCGCGTTCGAGTTTTTTGGTGCTAACTCTCGACCTCTCTCTTTCTAAAACACACACTTTACCTGGTATGATTGTAATTTTTGAACAAAATATATTATTTTCCATTGAGTGATAAATAGTAATAGTCTTATTTTAAATACTTTGAAAAATATGAGTAATCAAGAAGCATCACAGGAAATTAACGCTGTAGCTGATTCTGATGGAACTGTTGGGAATCAAGTATGTCAGCTGATTGTTATGAAATTATTATGCAATATTGGTAGTACTTTAAATTAATGCATATACAATAAAACCTGTGTATAACGATACCACAGGGACCTCCATAAAATATCGTTATAGCCGAGTTATCGTTAAACAAAATTTGAACTGTCAATCAATTAGAAATTACAGTTGCACAAAGGCACATGTTTAAAACTATGAAATATTTTAACTTCTTATATGAGTTTCAAACAATAATTGTGAAATGGCTATGCATAAAATAGTCTAGCATTCCTTAAAAATGTTTCATAACATATCAGAACTCATTAAAGAAAATAATAAGTTAATTATGCTTGCCTACTTTTTGGAGCAATTAACATTTGCATAATCATAGATTTCTGTCCCCCTAATGAGTTCAAATAAACATAAAATACATTTGATAACGTTGAAACAAAGTCTTGCAGTATGTTAACTAATGTTATGGCACTCTTGAGTGAAATTTGAGTTAACAGTAATCTGTCTCTTCCTTATCTTTTCATCACTAGAATAATTTCTGTTAATACCTCATCCCTTGAACTGCTAAAAACCAACACATCATTGTTTGAATTTGAAAATTTATGCATGTTCAAGGGAAAAGACTGATTGATCTTTGGAAAGCACTAACAATTGGAGTTAAACCAACTGCAGACTCTCTTTCGGTAGTGATTTTGGTCTACTTATTATGTTTTCTTCAAAGAAAAAAAGCTTTTGTCTAATAATTTTAGATAGTGGATTGTGCCAGCAAATCCTTACCATCAGAAACTCAATCACATGTATTTTTTACATCAACTGCATAAGGAATTAGAACTTTATTGTCCAGATTATAAACAACATTCTGGACTAATCGTTTTTGATAGTAGGTTATCCTCTGAAATACTTTGTCAGGAGTCTGTCCACGGCAAATTTACTATTGTTTAGCAGTACCTACATGAATTCCATCATAGAAAAAACACTATTTTCACAAAATACTTTATGTAAAGCAAGTTCTAAGATTCTTATTTCTCCCTCTTAAAATTTTGTTTTTGCAGAACCTAGTCAAAAATGTTCTCATAATGGGAATAACTTTTAGTGGTAGTATTGTTAAATGCATGTTTTTATTAAATTCTAGTTGAAATTTAACATGGGCAAAGGTTTCTATGGATTTTTAAATTTGCATAAAATTTTACAATAGTAAAATTATTTTTTGATATCAGAGGAAAAACATATAGAAACTTGTAAATGATTTTATTTTGTAGTAACAATTTTTGAAAATATTTTTGTATTAGCACCATATTTTTGTGTTAAAAATAGTTAATTTTATAATATTTTAAAATAATTTTACTATTGTAAAATTTTATTCTATAATATCGCAATCTAAGTTAAAATTTTCACAAAATAGGTACCTCTCAAAGAAACCTAGATAGACCCCTGATTATGCCCAAATCTAATGGCTATAGAATCAGTTAAGGGGGAAATAAAACAATTGAATTTTTTTTTTCAAACTGGAGGATCGCTGTGAGGTGTGCAGTTGTCAACTATGAGAATTTTTTTTTTCTCTTAATTTTCCTTTCTTTATCCGCATCAAAAAGCCAATTATTAATGATTTCTCAGTCATGCTTTTGTGTTTGCCTTGTAATGAACCATTAAATTTTTAATTTTTTTTAAACATCTATGTTTAGTGTATTTTCAACTTATCGGATCTATTACTGTTTGCACAAAGCAAGTCGGTCAAATAGGAATGTAAGGAATAGTGATTTGGCTGAATACTAAATATTTGGTTGAATAGTCACATTTTTTGCTTTAAAAAATCATTAATGAATAATGTTAATGGTTTTTCATGTATAAAACTAAGTATAAATAGTTTTATGTATAAGTTAAGTTTAGTTATTATTGAAAAATAACAAAAACTTAAGGAAAAGATAAAACTGCAAAACCTTTCTGCTTTTTTTATCTGGTGTTTTTAAAAACTGCTTAATTTTTCCTTTTTGAAAATGAGATTTTTTTTCCTTTACTTTGTTGATTTTAGCCACATATTATGCAAAAGCATGATTTTCACTTTGTTCTATTCAGCATTTTCACAATTCATTCTAACACAATGCATTTCAGCCTACCGTCGGTCCATAGCATATGAAAGCTCCAATCATTTTACGTGTTTGATGAGAAACTTGTGGGTCCTCGTGTACATATACTGAGATGGGTTCATTGAGATTTTTGAACTCTCATATGCCACTCTGATGCATATTCTCAATTTTAGGCTTCATTTTCCACCCTCTGAAATCGAACCGAAAAATCTGTCTTTTTATGGTACCTAACATAATCAAGAAAAGAGTTCTTTGTCAGAAACTAGTATAGTGCTTAAAAAGTACTTAAAAGATGCTTATTTTTTGCTGAAAGATTAAGCTATGCACCCTGGATTGGTGTCTTTTTTTGAGGATATAGTGACCTATTTTCTTTTCACTATTATCTAACACCTTTTCCTTTTTACTATTATCTAACGCCTTTAAGGTATAGTTTTAACTTTAAATATTTTATATCTATCTTTTATAATTTGGAAATCAATGTAATTGAAAAAGAGCATTTTTATATAAGAAAAAGACTCAATGGTGGATTGCAGGCAGTAAGATGCACATATTGCAGTCTTTCATAGTATATTGCATTCATAAGTAGAAATTCCATTATTTGTATTTCATATCAACATATTATGTGTTTCTTTTTTGTATCTGTCACACAGTGAACTGATCTTAAAGATCCTAGTAGAACACCAAAGTCAAGCATCACTGGCTGCAGTTAATAAGTGGGTGGGTGACCACTTATATCAGGCTATGTAGGGTGCGTGGTATCGGTCCTCGTTAAACTGTTCTTTAGTAAAGTACTTGACCCTGTAGCAGAATCGCGGCGACATTGTCGCAGAGCATTACAGAGTTCTTGCAGAAGCATTTTACTTTTCTTTTCTACAGAAATTTACACATAATATTTGAATCATGCATTTAGACCTAATCACTTTTTGACGTGCTCCATTTACGCAAATAGTATTGTAAATCCATGCAATGTTTCGATTGCATTTTCAGCTATTATTGATTTAATTTTCTCATATATTTTAAATGTCTCTATATATTTCAAACAATATCGAAAATTCGAATTGTGTATTTGAGTATTTACTTTTTAAATAATTCTATTGACTTTTGCCAGTTATTGCTATTGATTTCTCCATAGTTTTTAAATGCGATATTTTTATACGATATTATTCATTACAACAGCCTTATCTCAAAATGAAACACGCATTTGAGGAGTCCAATTCACTCGGTTTCATCGTCAATTTTTTCCCCAGTTATTACCACTACAGATTTCATTATTTCTAATTTTTTTTAGTGTGATGATTAAATTTACAAAGTGCAAAGAAGGAAATAATTTGTGCGTTTCCCCCAACAAAATCCAAGAATATCACTTGTAATATGAGAATAAAAAATTATTAAATGTTCAATTAAAAAAATATATATTATAGTTTTCTTTAGTAAACACAACGATTTTGTTACTTTAAATTAATTACATATGTGTTTGTTAATTATTAAAAGTATCTTGCAGGAAGATAGTAGTGCTGGAATTTTGTTGCAGATAGGTCAAAAAATTCTGCCACAGGAGTTCTTGACTTATCTACCAAAGCAGGGGAGCTATCCCCTCTAAAGACCATAACAGGAACGAAAATAATTTGTGTAACATTTTACTGTTTTTAGGGGAGTGAAAGTGGTCAGCAACAGGTGCCACCCCCAGCTGCTCCTCAGCACTCCATCTGGTCTATCATTAAGGGTATTGCATTAAGAGCTCTCATTGTTTACTTCATTACCAGTTTTTTCAGACGTCCCCAGGCGAATACTAGCACTTCTTCACAGTCATCTAGCATGCCTACAAAAACATCTCAGAATCTTTTTCCCAATGGAACTCATATAGTACGTATTATAATTATGCTGCTTATTTTTTAGGCTAAACAGAAATTTTGTAAAATGTGGTAATATTTTCATTGAAATATGTTTAAATTGCATTCATTAAGTCACAAAAGAAAATTTCATGAATAAAAAATAATATTTTCATACCTGCCACTTCTTCTTTTTTTTTTTCTTTTTTTNTTTTTTTTTTTTTTTTTGAACCAAAACTCCTGTATTTTACGACTGTTTCCTGTTTCTTTTCTTTTTTTTTTAAATAAAAGAAATTGGCAATAAAATTTCTGTTGATTACAAAAGTACTCTTTTTCCTCAAAATATGGTGCTATTGCCAGTACTGCTGCAGTATGTTGAGTATTTATAGTTTAAGCAATTATTAATTATGGTTTAAAAAAATCTTTAGATTAAGATTTATACACAAATCATTAAATGTAAGTGCTTATATTTTCAATTTTGACTTACATAATTATGCATGATGTATCAAAACTTCACTCGTAGCCTAAAAAATGTTGCTAGTAAAATCTCCGTCATCTTATTTCTCCAATGTTGGTAGGTATGATAAATTGGAAATGTGATTTCTGTTTTGAAATTTACCTCTAAATTTTAAAATTATCTCTTGTTTTGTTTAGGATCTGTATATATATATTGATGAGAATGAGAAGCTCGCGTATAAAGAAGAATCTCTTGTGTGGTTCAAGCCAGATATTATTTATGGTGATTGGTATGGAGGCCCAAATGGTGATGGTTCTTACGCTATAGAAACAGAAATTAATGCCTCTAAGGTGAGTCATTAAATCACATTTCTGAATATCCATAATCTAATCTTCTTTTCCTTAACTGCAGAGAGCCTAGGAATTTTGTTATTTGCAACTAATCTACAATAATTGCACCATGACATGGTGCATAGCATTTTAATTAGTGCTTAAAGGATCTTATTTTTGTTCTTCAAAAGCCCTTAAAGGTGCTTTTTTTCATTGGGTGATTTTAAAAAGTGCTTAATTTTTCATTTTCAAAAAGGAGATTTTTTCTTTACCGTGTCTATTTTCACCTTATATTATTTAAAACCGTGCTTTTCTCATTTTTATATTCAACAATTTCACAATCCATTTCCACGTACCGTCGGTCGGTAGCATGTGAAAGCGTTGATTGTTTTGCATGTTTGATTAAATAATTGTTAGTCCGTATGTGTTTCTACTGAGCTGTGTTAATTGAGATTCTTTCTCTCTCATGTGCGACTGCTGCATTTAGCAAGATATTCTCATTTTCAGGCTTCATTTTCCACCCTCTGATATCGAACCGAAAATTTTCTTGATCATTTTATAATAGCTAATATAATTTACAAAAAATATTCTTAGTCAAAAACTGGTTATTTTATCACGATTATGTAAAGTCTTTGGAGATTATTTTGCATTTTGTTAATGTATATATTGCTTAAAAATAGTTTTTGAGTACTTAAAAAGTATGCAAGTAGTAAAGTAAAAAGTATGTGACAGTACATAGTATAGCCCATAGCTTAAAAAGTACGTGACAGCCCATAGAATGCCAAGGCCTACTGTGCCCATCTCACTTTTTTTCACCTTGTGCTCTGGGGTGCAGTAGCTGATGTACCGATAAGATGGTCAGCAGAACGCGTAACCCCCAATGTTTAGTTCCCAAGCATGCTTGGTACTCATTTATCGACCCACTGAAAGGCTGAGTCAACTGTGCCCGTCTCGATGTTCGAACCCAGGATCTGTGGCACAGGAGCGCGAAGCGCTACCACTCAGCCATCGGGCATCTAAAAGGTGCTTATTTCTTGTTAAAAGATTGGCTATGCATCCTGCTCGAGTACCCCTGTATGAATCGTATTCTGCTAAGTTCTCCCACCGATATGTTGATAATGTGATTGTCTGGTGGTGGTCACAAGAATAATATCTCGCTCCATTTGTTTCCATGGTATCGTGCCTGTTTATTTGTATCCGTTGCTGTTTCCCCTCTCACCACTTCACACGATCAGTTTGAATCTTTGCTGAGTAAAGATGAGTATAACTTAAAATTTTTACCCTAAATTCTTGAAATTTCAAAAATAAAAATGGAAATTTATTTCTTAGTGAGGTCAAATAGCAGTGAGCAAGAAAGCTTTTGCAGGACACACTATAATTTTCTTAAGAAATCATATTTGTATTACTTATATAACAATTCAATAATCAGGGGTCTGTCCAGACCGAATTTACTACCGTTTAGCGGTACCTTCACAAATTCAACTGAATCAAAAACGGCAGTTTCACAAAATACTTTTTCTTAAAATTTTATCTTTGTATCCCTTAAGAAACGATAAATCCATATTTTTACTATATTTCTGCGTTGATTTTTTAATATAATTTTTAATTCTTCACAAATTATGTCTGAATTTTCGCAAAATAGGTACCTCTCAGAAAAACCTAGACAGACCCCTGATAGTTTTGTTATCTTCTGTGAAATATCTTTTCAAATACATACGAATTTCCTTCGCAAATAGTCAAATAAGCGTCACCCCAATATGGGTGCCATGGCCCGATCAGAATCTTTGTTGTCACCCAAATATGGGTAGCACGGCAGTCAACGTGTTAAACTAGTCCGAAAAATAAATAAAACCGATTTAATTGAAAGAGGGTATGCAAAGCAAAGAAATCTCATCTTTTCCTCTTCCAACAAGCTATTCTAAAATTTGAAATTTTGACTAAATTGAACTAAACTAAAATTGAAATTTTGTGAGCAATAATTTTTAATCCATTCAATTTGTAAGTTGGAACCTCTGAAATAGTTTAAGCAATTTTCATATAGCTGTTAATTATTTTNCTCATCTCAAAAGCCCTTAAAGGTGCTTTTTTTCATTGGGTGATTTTAAAAAGTGCTTAATTTTCCATTTTCAAAAAGGAGATTTTTTCTTTACCGTGTCTATTTTCACCATATATTATTTAAAACCGTGCTTTTCTCATTTTTATATTCAACGTTTTCACAATCCATTTCCACGTACCTTCGGTCGGTAGCATGTGAAAGCGTTGATTGTTTTACATGTTTGATTAAATAATTGGTAGTCCGTATGTGTGTCTACTGAGCTGTGTTCATTGAGATTCTTGCTCTCTCATGTGCGACTCTGCTGCATTTAGCAAGATATTCTCATTTTCAGGCTTCATTTTCCACCCTCTGATATCAAACCGAAAATTTTCTTGATCATTTTATAATAGCTTATTTAAAAAAATATTCTTTGCCAAAAACTGGTTATTTTATCACGATTATGTAAAGTCTTTGGAAATTATTTTGCATTTTGTTAATGTATATATTGCTTAAAAATATTTTTTGAGTACTTAAAAAGTATGCAAGTAGGAAAGCAAAAAGTACGTGACAGTACATAGTATATCCCATAGTTTGATCCCCACGATCAGTTTGAATCTTTGCTGAGTAAAGATGAGTATAACTTAAAATCTTTACCCTAAATTCTTGAAATTTCAAAAATAAAAATGGAAACTTATTTCTTAGTGAGGTCAAATAGCAGTGAACAAGAAAGCTTTTGCAGGACACACTATAATTTTCTTAAGAAATCATATTTGTATTACTTATATAACAATTCAATAGTTTTGTTATCTTCTGTGAAATATCTTTTCAAATACATACGAATTTCCTTCGCAAATAGTCAAATAAGCGTCACCCCAATATGGGTGCCATGGCCCGATCAGAATCTTTGCTGTCACCCAAATATGGGTAGCACGGCAGTCAACGTGTTAAACTATTCCGAAAAATAAATAAAACCGATTTAATTGAAAGAGGGTATGTTAAGCAAAGCAAAGAAATCTCATCTTTTCCTCTTCCAACAAGCTATTCTAAAACTTAATTTTTTTTCTTTATGTAGAAAACAAAACATAAACTCACAATTGAAATTTTGACTAAATTGAACTAAACTAAAATTGAAATTTTGTGAGCAATAATTTTTAATCCATTCAATTTGTAAGTTGGAACCTCTGAAATAGTTTAAGCAATTTTCATATAGCTGTTAATTATTTTAGTAAACTTTTGGTATTCTAGCTATTTTTCTGATTAATATTAAAATATTAACCTCTGAGGTTTGTTTTAATTGATGCAGAAATGTTTTGCCTAAGAATGTTTATAGAAAAGCAAAAGAGCATAAACTTAAATGTGAAATGAGGCCAGTAAAAAAAATTTTAGTGGTGCAAATCTAGGATGGTAACAAGGCAATAATAATTTAACCAAATCTAAAATCGTTTATTCTAAGTAATCAATTTAATTCTATCATGTTTTAATTAAGTACATAATTTCAGTGTTGTATAATCAGGGGTTATCCTGGCCAAATTTATTACCGTTTAGCAGTACCTTCACAAATTCAAGTTTTGGAAAAACGGGAGTTTCACAAAATACTTTTTCTTAAAATTTTATTTTTGTGTCCCGTAATAACCAATAAATCTATATTTGTGTTGATTCTTTAATGTAATTTTAATTTTCACGAGTTATGTCTAAATTTTCACGAAATAGGTACCTCTCAGAAAAACCTAGACAGACCCCTGATAATTTTTAATTCTGTACCTTTATCTGTTCGTTATTTTATTATTTAATTCATGCATATTTTTTTTAATATTATATACCTGTATAGAATTAAGTTGTGTATGACCTTGAAATTATCCAAATTTAAACTTCATAAGCGCTAACTGTATATATTTCTGTGTTACTGTACTAACAGATAACTTATGTGAAAAGTTGGCATATCTGAAATAGTTTAAACAAATTTTATAGAACTCTTAATTATTTTTAATTAACTCTTAACTTTTTATTACTTTTAATTAACTTTTAGTATTCAAGTCCCACAGTGGACTGATCGTAAGGACACGGTTCTCGGTAGAACACTAAAGTCACGCATCACTGGCTGTGTCCAGTAGGCGGGTGGGGTGGCCGCTTTTATTAGTCTGCGTAGGGACTGAATGTGAGCGGTATCTGTCCTCGCTATGCAGTTCGACTGTAAAGTGCTCGACTTTGCGTCGGTTGTCAGGCTACCAAAGCAGAGGAGCCACCCCCTCTGCAGAGCATTTGCTATTGCATGTCTTCGGAACATCCTCAGGCCTGTTTCTCGGACGGACGCAAATAGCCCATTGTGCAGCTCTCGAGCGATAGAAATAAAGTACCTACCTAACTTTTAGTATTCAAGCTATTTTTAAAGAATACTAATTCCTGAATTTTGTTTTAAATTGATGCTTAATTGTTTCATTTAGAAATAAATGTACTTGAAAACATTCGATATAAAATTTTATATTTAAAAAAAAAAACTCTTATTTTGTAAAGATTTAATTGTTTTGTTTGGTTTGCAGTTTTCATTTATTAATGAGATAACACAGAGTTGCCACTCCAGGAAAACCTGTAAAGTACAGGGAATTTAAAAACCACCTAAAGTAACAAGGAAAATGCAGGGAATTTTAATTATTTCTTTACAAATTGGGAAAATACAGAGAATTATGTTTCGTATTTTCATCTTTAAAATGGTGACCACTCAAAGCATTGTCTGTGGGATATTCAAGGATGATATTTCAGCTATGCCAAATTATTTTATTTACTATAGCATTATTTATGTATATTCAGATGTTCCTTTTTTTTTCTCTAAGTTTTTCAAGCAATTAAAACTAATAAATATAGTTGTCCCAATATAGCTCACACAAGGCAGTAATTGTTGTGGTTCCTCTTAATATTGTGTGTATAATATGTACAGGGAAAACACAGGGATTTTTTCCCCCTCCAGATTTGAGTGGCATCCCTGTTGTAACATGAGATCATATCTATATGTATTTAAGTGTGAGTGAGCTGCATTTATTTTTAAAATACTTATTCTTTTTCACTTGAAAAAGTAGTAAGAATTTAAAATATCGATTTCATTCTTCATTTTTTGTTCTGAGTTTAAATCTGTTAAAAAGCTCACTAATTCCACTAACACACTGTAACATGTCAAATATGCCAAAGAGAGGTTGCTATAAATTAAATATTGCATGGCCTGTTATTAATTAGTAATGGCCTGCTATAAATTAGTAATTGGATGACATGTTAGTTATGCTATAAATAAGTTATTGCTGTGACGCATCGTCTGTGATACAGAGTTCTTTAGCATAGAAAATTTTTTACACCAGCAGATATATGTATGTAAAATTGTAAGTAAACTTTAAGTATCTAATCAAACTAATCTAATTTACGATAACTAATTTACGGAACTAATTTACAAATTCAGAAAAAGACAATGTAAGTAAGTAACATTTAAAATAATAAAACAAAATGGAAAAGCGCCTACAGCAGCTAAAACCAATTTGTTTTATTTTTTTTTTAGTAAGTTAGAAAAACAATAGCAGAAAAAGACAAAAAATTTTAAGATATGTGTGTTAGCTGGACAGCACTTCATCAGGGGTCGCACTGTCTGCTAACACACAGGAGCCTTTCTGTTGTCAGTGGTGAAACCAAAAACTGACAGTGCCCGGAGGTTCCATAATGGAAAAACAAATAAGAAAAATTGGTGCCGACACACATATCTTAAAATTTTTTTTATCTTTTTCTGACTTACTAAATTAAACTTTAAGTATACATAACAAAAATATTTTTCTCTATTCATTGTATTATTCGCTGAAAGGAAAAATTAAAGTAAACTTGATTAGCATCATCATTGCTGCTTTTCCTTGAAGCAGGCGCTTACTCAGTCTTAAGTTCTTGATTGTTTAAAAACAAAAAAAAAACTCTTCTTGTTTTGTCTATCAATAGATAGAATAATAATGAATGAAAATTAATAAAAGGATAAAGATTTGTATCTTAAGTAGGTATTCGTATTTGATTATAAAAAAAAAGGACCGAAAAATATGGAAGTTTGAAGGTCTGTAGTTTTCAAAATCATTTTAATGTATTATTACATTCACATTAAATTTGTCTCTTTTTTTTTTAAGAATATGCAAAGAAATTGTAGTATTTGGTTACACACTTGCATTGTAAAAACAGGCCGATCTCCAAATCCCAGGAATAAAAAGAAGCATTCGTGGGGTGACGGTGTCTGCAAAAGTAAAAGTAAGTTAAATGTTTTTATCCTATGCAATTTTATTAGGTTCCAATTTTTATTCCCGATTTCTTATGAAGTTTAAACTAATAAAATATGTCATGTGTATATGCAGTCAAACTTCTATCTAATAAACTTCCATTTTGCGATTTTTTTTCGAGGAACCGAGAACATTTTGGAAACTTTTTCGTAAGATAACTTTCAACTAGCGAAGTGAATTTTCTATTTAACTAACTTTTCTCTGATATCCACTTTCCCTATTTCCCAAAATATTTCAAACTTGTTAAAGCATTTCATGGGGGAAATGACCTTGAATTGATTGGGGATTGTCGCAGCCACTTTTAGAAAAAGTAGTCCCTTTTTGTTTGCATCTCATAGAGAAATCTATTTGAAAAATCAATTTACGAGAAAGCATTCGCGAGATAATAGCATTCAATTCACGAGAAATTTCTGAAGCTTGGTACTCTGATGTTACAGGTCATATTATTTGTAACAGTTTTACTAAAGCTGGATTTTTAGTCAGCGCGGTGAATTTTGAAAGTGCGGAGCACGAGGATCATATTCCAGTGGAAGAACTTAAAATGTGGGTACAGCTAAGAGAGAACCAAAAAATTTATGATGATGTACTGATTAATGATTTTCTTTTTATTGATTCTGAAGCTGCAACCACAGAAACATTAACTGAATCTAATATTTTGGACAGTGTGAAAAATAAAAACAATACAGCAATAAATTGTGAGGAAGACGAAGACAGAAATTATGAAGAAATCACCACACTTTCATATGATGAAATATTAAAATCATTTGAAACCATTTGATAGTAGATAATAATTTACAAGATAAAAGTGTTTAATTATGTCTAGTGTTTATGAATCTGAAACCTGTTTTTGTGTTTAAGTATTTTAAATGATGATTTTCTATTTAACAAATTACCCATATAACGAACTTATCAGGATTTAGTGACTTCGTTAAATAGAGGTCCGACTGTATATCTTATCTTTAATATTAAAATAAGAATGAAATACACACATTGCCAATCACAGAAGACTTGCGATCAGTAGCTCACATAACAGCCAATTAGAATTAAGAATGCATGCGGATGATAGAGCAATAATCTAAATATATATATTATTCAGATTATGTGGCACTATAAACTTGGGTATTTCTTTATCTTTTGGCTACACCATAGTTATTATTTATTTTGTTAGGTTGTCGCGAGTAATAATTTAAAAGTACGGTTAAAAAAAATTTTTTGCCCTAAGTATTTACTTAGATTCAATTTATTAGCTTGTCTCGAATAATGTTAAATAATTATACGTTAGGTATTTTTTTTTTTAAATTAGTTTGTATTTTTATAAAAACAGAAACTTAAGCTATGTAATAATTATTTAGATTTTATTTTTGATCCTTTCTAAAATGACTGTAGAAATTTTAAGCATACGTGGATCCAATGATGCCTCATACTGTCATACCGATTATTGGTGGTTAGATTTTTTGAGGAATAGCACATATACGGTGAACTCTCGCTACTACAATATCCGATACAACAATAACTCCCTCTATTACAATAATGTTTTATAGTCACTACGAACTTGCATATTAATTAATGTTATCAACCTCTCAATATTGCGATATTCTTTGAAGCAATATTCCCTGTAAAACGTTTTTTTTTCTCCTAATTTCAACCTTTTTTTCTCCATTTATTATAGGTTTTCAAATAATTTAAAAAAAATCTTATTTTATCATACTTTGCCTTTTTTTCCGGTTTTTCTGACAAGAGAAGTCTCACTGCTGATTATGTACTTATCTTATTTCTTTTCACTGCAGTGAATGGCTTTTGTATTCAGATCTCAATGATGCACATAGACCACCCCAAGACCTTCCATTCTTAGAATTGCCTACCTTATCTCTTAAGAAGATGTAACATTCCTATCTGATTTCATATTTAACCATAACTAACACTCTGCAAATTAAATTTTTATATAATATATAAATAGATTTATAGTTAATACATATATAACATTAAAATTTAAAAAAAAAATCTTGTGTCCCCAAAGTATGCAGACCCTCGATATAACAATATATCCCTCTGGAACACTATATTTATTGTGTCCCCAAAATATTATTGTAGCTAGGTTTTACTGTATATTATACGATGGCTCGAGTAGTGCACGAGGAAGTAGTACAGCACCTCATTGTGATAGTGTCTCATGACATAGATTGACTGCTGTTTACTGTGCTGAACTGTCCTCTACTCATGGTAGTTTGTGTGATTTAATGACTGCTGAAGAGACTTTAAATTGTTATTAAAATTCAATAGATGAGGAACTTTGATAATACACTATCTGTCCAAAACCCACTTGTTGCGGTGGTGGAAGCATTATGGCGTGGGGGTGCCTGTTAGTTCCTGTGGTTTGAACTCTTGAGTTGTGTATGTGAACAATGCTGCACTCTACGGCAATATTTCGGCCCATTTATCTTTCATGCACACATCGAGACTTGCACAGGCGTGGTTTGAAGAAATGGGTGTTCAAAAACTGCCTTTTCAGAGTCCCGATGGGACAGCCTTTTGGACAAATTAGAGAGCAGATTACATTGCCATCCAAATGGCTCACTTCAGCTGTGATGGAAGCCTCAGGGATCTATCTAGGTTTTTCTGGAAGGTACCTATTTTGTGAAAATTTAAACATAATTGAAAATTATATTAAAAAATCAACACAAAAATATGGATTTATCGTTTCTTAAGGATACAAAAATAAAACTTTAAGAAAAAGTATTTTGTGAAACTACCGTTTTTCCTAAAGTTGAATTTGTGGGGGTACCGCTAAATGGTAGTAAATTCGGCCTGGACAGGCCCCTGAGTCCTATTCAAAAACTGGTGGGAAGATCTTTGTGTGCAGGCTGTCACCCACATCTTATTAACCCCTTACCCATTTGTTTGGAGAAAAAAATACATAATTTTATTAGTTAAATACTAGGAACTAAAACAAAACTTAATACGCAAGTTTTAAGTGGAAATTTTAATATCTTTTTATGTGTAAAAACATTTAATTTACCACCAGTTTACTATCCTGAGCAGTCTTGGGCAAACGAAAAAAGTAACGTGTAAGTTTTTGTATGCTAGTTTTTAAAACAAGAGACAACACAAAATGATACTTTCCAAGTGCCAAGGAAATGACTTGTCATTTTTTTTTTACTCTTTTTTTTTTCTATGCAAATTCAGCAATATTAATTGCTTCCAATATTTTTTATTTTATATGAGTCGTTGAACAACCAACCCAATTTTGGGTTTACGACTACTAATGCAGAGCTCATTCTAGGCAGAAAAAAGGGCAGGGTGCAAAAGTTTAAAAAAAGGGGGATATTTTATCAGNTTTCTATGGGCTTTATACATTCTATTAAAAAAACGCAGTCAATTAGTAAAAGAAAAGAAAAAACTTTTTACTTTACAAAAAATACCAAAGCAATAATATTATTTAAAAAATTTTATTAATAAATTAACATATAAATCAAGTTAATGAGTTATTTAGCTTAGTAATTTATTGAATATGCATGCATATATTAATAATAACAAATGTGTGCTTATAGTAATGAATTAATAATTAAAAGAATGCTTTTCAGCTCTTAATTTTATCATAGGTGCTTTAAGTAGCATAACATAACAATATAATTAAAAATGCAGCATTAAATAATATACATTAAATAAACTAATAACAATTCAAATGAGCTTATGTTTTCAATATCAAATAAATCAAGAATTTTTTTTTTTTTTTTAAAGATTAACTAAAAAAATATCATACAAAATTCAATAAAGCATCTTACTCAGTTCTCCTTCAATATAAACCAATTTAATAAACTCAGTTCTCTTCAATATTATTATTAAACCAATTTAAGAAACTATCAAAACATGTATTTAATGATGGTCTATTCTTATTTCCACCATTTTTCAGGTAAGCCTAAAACTAAAATCTGCTTAAATTAACATATTTTATAGTCACATTTTGTTGTCATCAGTTCAAGATTGAAAAAAAGTCGAAAATTTCCTTTTTTTTTCTTCATCTGATTATATTAAATTAAAAATTTATGCAAGAAATAAGAATTTAAATTATTTAAGATATTTTCATAAAAAAACTTTTTAATACCATACAAATTAAAAAACATTTTTAGAATTAAACTATTGAATAACATACAAAATTCAATAAAGCATCTTGCTATAATTTATGCTTTTAATTATATAGTAAGCATATTGTTAAAATAAAATGCAAAGTTCTCCAATAATTACATTAAACCAATTAAAAAAAAACTATCAGAACATGGATTAAATGATGATCTGCTCAAATGAACATATTTTAGTGATACTTTGTAGTGTGAAGTTCAAAATAAAAAAAAAGAAAGCGAATTTTATATTTTTTATCTGATTTTATTAAATTGAATTAAAATTATAAAAAATATTTTTATAAGAAAAACTAGGTTTGGTTATTTTTAAGAAAAATATTTGAATAACTAATTAAAAATATTAAAATAAATATCATTTATGAAAATAACCGTCTCTTCATTTCTTTACGGCAGCAACAAAATTACACTCATTATTTAACTTTAATATCATCAATCTATTAATATTTTCAAATTTTAGAGAATTTCTTTTATCTGTTAGAATTAATTTAAGTTGTGAAAACACTCTTTCTACTTCTGCGTTAGAAACGGGTAAAATATTTGCTATTGTGACTAATTGGGTAATTAAAGGAAATCTACTGGAGCTATTTGTTTCATGCATTATTGAGTTTAGTTTTTTTATACAAGGAACATGGAATACTTGACATGGAAAGATAAAGATTTTTAAAGTCACTCCATTCTTCACACAACAATTCTTCATCAAACTCAAAATAATCAGCAAGTTCAATTATCTCTGAATTGCCATACAACTCAATTGACTTTCCGTCTACGAATCTCGTTAAATTAAATGTACTCAAGTGCGAAATCACTTGCTGATTTTCCAACCTTTCTGATATGT